CTCAACGCGTGCCGTGTGGCAGACGAGTAGAATCGCACAAAAAACAGCATGACCACGCGATGATCTGTTTATCGACGCTGACGCTCTGTGGGCCGCTGTCAGTATACAGTGTGTGTCGTTTGTAGTCCGGTTTTGCCTTTTTTCGGGCAAAGGTTCACCCAAATAAAATTTCATCCTAACTTGCCAACTTCTTGCTTCTTTAATGTCGCGACCACTGGACAACACCTAAACCGCGGCCAAGTGTTTTCGCTTCGACTCAGGGTCCGTGTGCGAAGACGACAGGAGCCTGACTACATTAGTATTTTTAGAAAAAGTCTATTTTCTGCAGAAAAACCTTCTATAAACGCTCACAGGTGAAGATCAAAGAGGCTCACGTGTTATAAGGAATGGGAGTTACAGTACAACAAAAATATATACATATATGAAATGTGTTCACCTTTGTTGGCTTTGGAGCCACGACTTGGACGGTTAGATGCAGGTGAAAAAAAATGGCAATATCCTTTTCAGCGACATGACAGCACAACTGAAGCGCCAAATCACTTCGCGCCTTAAAGGGCTAAGATTTGGTGGCCAGCCGAAACAAAGCACGCACTATAAATTCTTGAAGCGATACCTGAGCTTGTTGTAAGAGCAACTAGACTGGTTAGCATATTTATTCATTTGGTTTGAGCACATAAGGAACATGAAGACAAGAAATGGGGAGAGAACAGGCTGATAACTGCCACCTACAGGGGCACAACGCCTGCCTGCTCCTTCGGGAAGAGGAGGCATAGAGGAAATAAAGGAAGAAAGGAGGACAGAGAGGAGAAAAGCTAGAAAGAAGAGGAAAACACACACACACGCGCGTGCAAAGAGTAGTCACATGAGAAATGTCTTTAAACGTAATGATCGGACATTACACTGCATCACGAAGGGGCAGGGCTTTCGACTGTCCGTACTGTTTCTACTGAAGGCTGCCGAGAACTGAGACGAGCGCCTCCAAAAGCTGTTCTGCGGCTAGTGCTGCTGGTGTCTGGGACCGGCAATCAGTGATCTTATGACATTGACAAGCATCTTATATAGGTTGATGAGCTGAGCATCGTCTTGGACAGAGTCCGTTTTGCGTGCAATCTTTTCCACTGTAGGCGCTGGTTCCGACGTTTTGCGAGAAGCGATCTTTTCAGAGACTGCCTCGGACGTTTTCTGTGAAAGGGCCAGCCACGATGTTGCCGAGAGGGGGAAGTTCCGTTTCTGCTCTTCCCTCTGACGTACGTTTTTAGTACTATACTTTGAAAGTGTAGGTACATCAGTTTGGCCTTCTACAGCGGGTGGACGCGTACTGCGGTTGAGAGTATTCTCTCCAGATGTGTTATCTCTGCTTTTTTTTATTTCGATAGCAATTATAAGGACACTCTCGGCTGGATTTTGCCGCCGGCGTCGGAGTGGGCGTTCAACGTTCAAACGCCAAGCTGTTTATATCTACTACTTTCCGCTGTTGGCGGGCATCTCGGGGGTGGAACTATCGTTTTTTCAGCATTATCAGCAAGATGGCGTGATGAGCGCGCGGCGGCTCTCATCTCTCACGTGTACTTTGGCCCGCAGAGAGAAGAGGAATGGACCATCTTTCGGGCGCCCTAATCTCCAGTTGGGGAGGATCATGCGTCTTGGCTGGCTTGCACTGGAACAATTATGTTGTAGTTACGGGGCGCACAAAGATCACTGCAATTGTTGCACAGCCTCCCTTTGCGAAAAGGGCGCGCTTTTCATACACAGCGCTCTAACAATGGAGACGCTTATTCGCGTTCTTATGTACCTGTGAGTACGTTTCGTGCGTCATTTGTGTTTGAGAAATGTGGGGCGCGTTTCGATCTGCTTGCCATTTTGTGCGTGACCTTCTAATTTGTTGCTATCGCGTTCATTGCTTCGCCTTTGCAGCAATGCTGCGACGTTTTTCACAACCATCAATTTTTTTTTTCAAGGTGGGACATTCTTTGCCAAATCTTGCGTTTAAACTCCCTTCGTGTTCCCTCGTTCTCTTCTGTGGGAAAAGGGGACAATAAACATGGGTTCGGTCATTCTGGTGTCATTGTTAAAGAAAAACTCCGCCCTAAAAATATTGACGATGCCTCATTTCAATTAGGGGAGGATTCTCCAATAATCAAGAGCGACAACCAGTTTAAGGTGACCGCGTAGGTCGTTCGCACACGTGCAGCTTCTTTCGTGGGAATATCTTGCCTCGGTTCTCAGCCGAGCTTTTTGCACGACTTCCATCGTGGCCTTGCGACAGAAGCTTTCGTCGCCGTGCCGTGGTACAGAAAAACGAACCTGTATCAACTGCAGTATTCGAAGAATAACACCACCTTCCACTGCTTTTCGTTGTTCTAAAAACAAATATTTTCGTACCCAAGCCAGCGCTCCAGTCAGCGGAGGCAACACGGCGTGCTAGTACGCATGGTGATGGTTCGAAAAAGTGGCATTCGGTGACAAAAACTCTGCTTCACAGACTACGTGGCTGAAAGAAACCTTGCAGAAAAGCCACCTTCCAGAACTTTTAAAACTCCATTGGCTTGTCGAACTCGAAAAAATATATTTTAGACGTCATCCTAAGTGGTTTTCAATGAAGGTGCCTATTTCGGACGGCGTTGTATTAGAACACAAAAAAAATCCAACGCAGGGGGGGGGAGGAGGGGAGGGCCCAATAAGTTCCCCACGGGCGACGCCATTAATGGGTAATACAAAACTTCGCCTAGTCTTCGTGCCTGCGGACTGATATCGCACTTGTTGCTTTGTTTATCGTTGTATTTTGGTACTGTTTCATATAAAAGAACGGACCGTTGTGTATTTCGTGACCTGAATTGAATTGGTGAGGCTAACAGATTAAGGTGGTGAAGTGCAACTGCTGAACATTTGCTGCTTGTCATTTCGTGAGAAAGCAAGTCCAAGTCACGTGGCCCCACCGCGGTGGTCTAGTGGCTAAAGTACTCGGCTGCTGACCCGCAGGTCGCGGGATTGAATCCCGGCTGTGGCGGCTGCATTTCAGATGAAGGCAAAAATGTTGTAGGCCCGTGTGCTCAGATTTGAATGCACGTTAAAGAACCCCAGCTGGTCGAAATTTCCGGAGCCCTCCACTACAGTGTCTCTCATAATCATATGGTGGTTTTGGGACGTTAAACCTCACATGTCAATCAAATCAAGTCACGCGAAGCCAAGCAGAGCCGAAATTACAAAGATTACACAAATTTGTATACTATCCATCATTCCTATGCTCGCTGATGCGTCGAGCTTTGCAGTTCCCATACACACTAGCGTCAGCGTTCTCTCTATACTGTGTCTATAGGAAATTCTATGAATAGGGCACCCTGGATATAGTCACTGAAATGTTTTCCTGTAACTCTAGCCCTGTAGTCAGCGTCCGTTCCAATGCTGGCATCGGGGCACCATTATAGTGGCTAGAATAGCGCCGCACTCTACTGAGGCTATCCAAGCGTTCTCTGTCGGTGCTCGTTCAGCTAAAATACAGAACTTGTCTTCTTCGCTCGTAGATAGTGGCAACGTCCCGACAAACAAAAAGTGCAAAGCGCAGAGAGAAAGAGTGCGCGATATAATAGGCACGCCTGAAGCACTCTTCTGGTATGCGCTGGTATCTATTGTCACGTACCAAGTGGTCGTGTGTTTGACTCCCGGGTCTCCAGAAGTTGCCTTTTTTCTTCTTGTTTGTTCCTTTGTATTCTTTTCGTATAAATTTTAGTAACGTCATATATTTGACGTAAGTATACGTCAGTGAAATCTCGGTAAACCCCGGCATAAAACACTCTCGTGTTTAAAAAATATGCGAACATTTATACATGAACATGGGCAGCGCGATTATTAGGAACGTTAGTAAATATACGTTGTGTCTCGAGCTTCGCTGCGATACTGTTCGAGGCAAGAAAGAAAATTTGTACGTATTTGGGTGAGTGCACTCGTGTGATCGTAAAGCGCGCGCCTCGGAGACAAAGGGGTTACATGTAACGCGGAGTCTAGTCATCATTTGCCGTAATTAACACTGATAGTAGGAATTCAGGTGAAGCACCTGCCTCTGTGTTTCTAAAGGAGGGAATATTGTTTTGTCATCGTTGGCTCTGTAAAGAAATCAGTGTTATTTAAACTTCTTAAATTGCACTCTTCAGCCTGGATAATTAGAAAACACCTTTTTTCAATATTCTCCACACATTTAATGTGCATTTTAGTACGTCGATTCTGTGTAACGCAAGCATACTCTGGTTAGGGTCCAACAAAAGTCACACGAATTAATAATATAATGCCGGTATGCGGATTCCTGGGCCTGTGTCTTAAAGGGATACTAAGGAGCAACAATGATTTGGTTTAGATTAATAAACTGCCCTCCAAGAACTGCAATGCCAAAAGTTTTACTATGATAAGTTCATTATTAGCGGACAAAATCAAAGTTGAAATGTCATTTTCTTATTTTGCGCCAAAATCTTTGTGCGTGACGTCACTAATTTCATAATGTAGTTTTCGTATTTTCGCAACACAAGTGCGATAAAAATTTCTAAAACTTCGTATGCTATAGGTATATGGCAACCACAAATGACAATGTATACTTCATTTTTATCGATTAAAGGTATACGTAGGCCCCAGTAGACGCCTTCAAAAGCGTCTACGTTAAGGTGTTTGATGCGTGGGTATCTGAAGATGGCGTTTCTAATCGCGTTTTCCTTTCGCGTGTTTTCTCGTTTCCCAAGCGTAGTCTCACAGTAAGAGGGCTATTCTTGGGATGGTCAAATTGTACTTGTACGCGATAAATTGCGTTCTCTTTAGTGTCTCTAAAACGTTGCATTGCATTACTGAAATGAATTTGTATGCACGTGTGTGCAATTGAACAGTATAATAGAAAGTCGTGACTAGAAAAAAAAGTTGAAGAAAGCCGACATTGTCTTACGCATACCATAGGTCACCTTTTCTTTCGTTTTCCTTTTTCACTATGCAACTTCGAGTAAGACCGAGAGATCACAAGTTACCTGAACTGGCATGAGGCAGTGCCAATAAGGGACCACACAGCGATGAAAGCTAACGCGGAGCTTGTCATCCTGGCACGGCCGTTTTCTGGGCCGTATGGACAGAGACTGCCGCTGCTGGGTAGTTTTCCGCTGAGCGAAGCCTTCATGCCACGTGCGGTGTGGTGCATCGTAGCACAGTCTTATCAATGAGCTTAGTCAGACCACGTTACCTCAGGTATAGTTTCTAGCGAAAGCTTTTCATTTCGTCGGCAGTACTTGTTTCGTGTTACAGTTCGAACAGACGAGAATGAAAGAAGGACCCACATGACACAACATTGTGTCTTGTGTGTTTTTTTTTTCTTTTGTCCCCGTCTGTATGCTAGCTTTTTCACGTTTCTAAGACGCAATACCAGTGAGCCGGCCAAGGTCCTTTGCGCTTGTTTTGTGTGTATCTTTCTTCTGTCCCGTCGATTTGGTGCGCCATACAATCTACAGTCATGCTTTGTCAACACACGCAGTCTTCAACCTTAGCTGACCCTAGTGCTCAGGCGCAGCGCTACAAGCTAGTGATGAGCGCCAGGTGACCCACAAAATGGGTATTCGGCAGAAGCTTGAATGGCAGTCTGCTTTTTGAACCCCACCTGTGCAAATGGCCTCACCTATATATTACTCTACATGCCTGCGCTATTGAAGGGAGCAGTCAGTCAGTCAGTCAAGAACTTTAATATATGGTCCTGAGGAGTTTAAGCCACCAGGGTGCCCACGTGGGACATCCTAGCAGCCGCTACCGTAGGCGACGCCCGAGTCGGGGCTGGAACGTGGTGGCGTTCCGCCAGTTCTTGGGCCCTCTGGACTGCCTTAAGTTGGTTTCGGAGATTGGGGCTCCTGAGTGCCTCCTCCCAGTCGGACTCACTGGTGAGAGGTCCCTGAGGTAACGCGGGACATTGCCAGAGCATGTGCGCGAGTGAACAGTACACTTCTGTGCAATCTGGGCACTGTGAATTTATGTCTGAGTTATAATGGCTGAGTCGGCCCCGTGATGGGTACGATCTCGTTTGTAACATTCTAAAGGCTACTTCTTGCGCGCGTTCGAGTTTTGAATGGGGTAAAGGGTATCGGCTTCTGTTGTGTCGGTAGTGGGAGGTAATTTCATGGAAGGTGAGTAGTGGGTCATTAAACTGCACGTCTGGGCCCAGCTCTTCGGTGGCTGATTGATCGTCACGGCGGGTCAGTTCTCGTGCTCGATCATGAGCCATTTCGTTGAGGTTGGGTTGTTGTGGGTGAACGTCTTTGCCCATGTGGGCAGGGAACCAAGAGAGGTAGTGCGAGCCCGTATATTTCCGTGTTTGTAAAATGCGGGCTGCTTCTGGAGCGATGTTGCCGGTTTCGTAAGCCCGAATGGCGGCGCGAGAGTCTGTGAAGACATTAGTGAGTGAGGGGTCGGTCATCGCTAAAGCTATAGCAACTTGTTCGGCTATAGCGCTTGTTGATAGCCTAACCGAGGCGGCTGAGCGTAGGGCTCCGTCGCCATCTACTACCGCGAGTGCGAAAGAGGAGGAGTTACCGTATTGCGCTGCGTCGACGAATGCGGTAGAGTTGCGATTCGCGGCGGTACGGTTTAGGATCGCGCGAGCGCGGGCCAGCCGTCTGCCTTTGTTGTGTTGTGGGTGGACATTTCGCGGAAATGGGGTTACCATGTAAGTAGCTCGGACAACTCTGGGGAGGGTTACTGCGCGTTCGAGGCAGGGGTGTGGGGACATGCCGACCTCGCTTAGAAGTCGGCGGCCTGCCTTGGAGGAGGAGAGGCGGATCACTTGGGCCGTGGTCTGGGCCTCGATCACTTCATCGATGCCGTTGTGCATGCCTAGTTGGTCGAGACGGGAAGTGCTCGTGTTTTGAGGCAAACCAAGGACTTGTTTAATGCTTTTGCGCATGAGTGTGTTTAGTTTCGTCTTTTCTACCTTCGTCCAGTTGTGGGCAGAGGCGACGTAATTGATGTGACTCATTAGGAACGCGTGGTATATGCGCAGAAGGTTGGCCTCTCCAAGGCCTCGTCTACGACCCGAGACTCGCTGAATGAGTCGGAGCATGTTCTCGGTTTTAGCTGTGATATGTTTAATTGTTCTTGCATGACAGCCAGTGGCCTCGACGAGGAGGCCGAGAATGCGTATGGAGTCCACGCGGGGTATTCGCTGCCCATCTTTGGCGTGTAGCGCTATGGGTAGATCACCTAAGGGTGTTAAGTTACGAACGCCTTGGCGAGATTGCCGGTACAGTAGCAACTCTGATTTTGTGGGCGACAAACGAAGTCCAGTGTTTTTTAAGTAGGCTTCTGTGGTATTGAGAGCAGTTTGAAGGGCTTGCTCCAACTCCGCCAATGAGCCTCCCGGGCACCAGATGGTGATGTCATCTGCGTATATAGCATGGTTTATGTTTGGGATCTCGCGGAGTTTGTCAGATAGTCCCTTCATTACTATGTTAAAAAGGAGTGGAGAAATGACTGCCCCTTGTGGTGTCCCGTTGGAACCTAATGTGTAAGTGTCGGATGTAAGTTGCGATAAATGTAGCTGAGCTTTTCGATTTTGCAGAAAAGAACGAATGTACGCCTGGAATCTTTTACCGAGACCAAGGCTGGCAATGGATTCCAGTATAAAGCGGTGTGAGACGCTGTCGAATGCTTTAGTGAGGTCTAGGGCGAGAATGCCACGAACATCTCTCGTTTTTGAGTCGAAGATCTGTTTCTTTAGTAATAGCATGACGTCTTGTGTTGAAAGGTGCGGACGGAACCCGACCATGTTGAACGGAAAGAGTTCGTGATCCTCTATGTAGCGCGATACACGATTTAGGATGACATGTTCAGCTGCTTTTCCTATGCATGAGGTTAGGGAAATCGGGCGTAGATTGTCGAAGTTGAGTGGTTTACCTGGCTTTGAGAGAAGGATTACCGTGGCCGTGCGCCATTGTTCAGGTACCTGGCCAGTTTCCCACATGTAATTAATGTCTTTTGTGAGTAGTGTGATGGCTTGGTCGTCTAAATTTCGCAACAGGCGGTTGGTTACCTTGTCAGGACCGGGGGCTGATCTGCTGTTGAGGTTGTGTAATGCCTCCCGAATTTCTGACTCCGTGAAGGGTTCGTCGAGTTCGGGTATCGTTTCGCATTCTATTTCTGGGTAGTCGGTGGGTTGTGCTGTGTTTAAGGGGAGGTGACGTTTGGAGATTTCTTCAAGAAAGGATGAGTTTGTTCCTCCCATCTTTTTGTGCGAGTGTAGGAGCCGGTCTATGGCATGACTCTGGTTGTTTTTTGTTTCGCAGTCGTCCAGCATGTATTTTAGGAGGTTCCATTTACCCCCAGTTCGCATGCGGCCGTCGACCGCCGAGCAGAGTTCATGCCATTGGAGTCGTGTGAGCTCCGTGCAATATTTGGCAATGTCTTGGTTCAGTATTGATAGACGTTTTCGTAAGCGTCTGTTTAGTCGTTGTGTTTTCCAGCGCGCGAGTATTGACGCTTTTGCCTCGAGCAAATGTGCCAGATGTGGGTCCATTCTCGGGACCTCGAGTTCTGTTTGTATTGTTTTCGTTGTTTTGGCTATGTCTTCCTGAAGTGAGGTGAGTAGTTCGATGAATGTGTTGTATTCCTTTGTGTTGTTTTTGCGGAGGGTGCGGAAGGCATCCCAGTCCGTTAGCGTGAATGTACGGGGTGGAGCTGATGCGTTGGGTAGTTCGGTTCGTATGATGAAGTGATCGCTGCCCAGGTTTTCCTGCGTATTGGTCCAGGTGTGGCCTGTTACGTTACGGGTAAATACCAAGTCCGGCGTAGTGTCGCGTTGTACCGATGTTCCAAGTCTCGTAGGGAATCGGTGATCTGTGATGAGTGTGAGGGACAAGTCGTCAATTGCTCGCGTGAGGTTAGTGCCTTTAGCCGTTGCCTGGGGGTAACCCCATGACGGGTGGGGGGCATTGAAGTCGCCTGCTATAACAAGCGGAGAGTTTCGCGCGAGCGTTGTGGCTTTAGTTAAGAGCGCATGGAAGGACTGTCTGTAGTCTGACGGGGAGCTGTAAACGTTAAGGATAAAAACGCTTTGTTTTAAAAAAACGGTTTGGTACGAGTTCGACGAGTATCGCTTCCAGGCGGCTGCGGGTGGGTAATACCTCATGTACTATGTGAGCAAATTTCTTGCTAATCAGCGTGGCTATACCTCTCTTGGTATCCCCTCGTTGTGAGATGGGGTGGTAACCCGATAATGTGAGAGTATCACAAAGGGTCTCCTGCAGTAATATTACGTGTGGCTTCTTGGGTTGCGCTTTAATGTACTGCAGCAGTGGGGTTTTACGGGTCGCGAAGCTAGCGCAATTCCACTGCCAAATTTCTAACGTGTTTTGGGTTGTGGAAGCCATGATGATTACATTGAATTTGGTGGCCCAGGCAGAATTGCCGTAGGATCCACAGAAACTACTGTTCTGGCTTTGGTTTTAGCTTTTATGGTGGCTTTTTGCTCTAGTGCTTCCACCCGGCGTGACAGCGTGTCGATGTTATCGTGGTTTTCTCGCGTGAGACGTAAGATTTCGTTTAGAGTGTCTTCTGGTGAGTCGCTGTCATTCGTGTCCGCTTCGCGGAGTGGTGGGGCTCTGCGTTTAGGTTTGCTAACATCTACAGTGGATGAGGGGGGATCTTTAGGAGCTGTGAGAGTTTGTATTTGGTGCCTCGCCTCATTTAGTTGTGTGGTGAGCTGTTGTATGGTTGCCCGAAGACCTGCTAGTTCTGCTCGTAGAGTTGTAACTACCTCGCTTTCATGCTCTGGCAATGAGGGCCGCGTTACCTTTGTGACTGGCGGCGTGCTCCGTAGCGGTGGTTTCTTCCCTTGGACTCGGTCCGCCCATGTCAGCTCAGCCTGGCGAGATGGGGAGTGTCTCCTGGAGCGGGAGTGGCTGCGCTGGGCACTGCGACGTCTCGCTGTCGGTGTGAGGGAGCGGCTTCGCCTGGATGTCGCATAGGTGCTCGAGGTGGCGCTGGAATCGCGGGAGCTGGCTCCACTCGATCACGCTTTTCCGCAGACACACGGAAGTTTGTTACAACTGCGGCAGCCTCGGCCATCGTGCAGACGTTTGC